TATAACATATATATATATATATATATATATATATATATATATATATATATGTTATAATTTCGTTAATTTCATTGTTAATACGATAATTAATAAGTACATATAATATATCAAGTTTTAGTCGAAATATCAAATAACCAGAGTGAAGAGTCGAGTAAAAACAGTTTCCGGAACGTGCAAATAACAAATTCTCAGGAACATAGTAGAAGTTTGGTCCCGGATTTTCTGGGCACCCTGTATATTTGAAGATGTATAATGTTCGGGGTGTAATTAAACCGCACACGATTCAACGCGTCACCTTATTTTACCTGGTTCGCGAAAGGTTAACCGAACAGAAACGCCCAGGTGGCCGTCCGCGCCAAAATATGCGTAGAATATTGCGGCGATGGGGAAATTCCGTTTCAGGAGGGCGAGTGCGAAAGGCTATGGTGCACCAAGGAGGACAAGTGCGTGACTCAGGGCACCGGGGTGGCCGACGGGACGAAATGCGGCGAGAGCAAGGTTCGATGCACAGACCATATAATCCTTTTCGCGGGCGTTGCGACTACATTTTAGAATTCCGGCTAAAATTCTAGCGGTTGAAACCGGGAGAGATCGATCTTTTTTTCCAAGCTCCTAAATGAGATTCTCTCTCAAAGTACCGTCGGTCTGCGGAAGGCGTCTCGCGCACCTCCGTTCCCACCGTTTTACCTCGCGGAACAACGATTCGCGTGTTCGCGGCCGTTGGGAGATTGTACAGAAATTTCCATGCGGGTGCTTCGTCACGGTTTCCTTCGCTTCTGTTGGCTCCTGCTCGCCGCTGTCCTTTGCGGCGGATTACAGCCAGAGAACGAGACGCGAGGGGAGGCTCTAAGCGACACGGAATAATTTAAAATTTCCGAGACGCGAGCGTAACGCGAAAGTAAAACGTTTCGCGACACCGCGAGAAAGCGGGCGAGGAATAATTCTATGAACGGCGAAAAATCACAATGAGGCGGTGGCCATCGTGGGGAAAGCCGTTTTCAGTTTCTCAGAAGTTTCAATTCAAGGAGGCTTTAGGAAATTCTTCCGTGCGAAAGCAAGTTCGAATTGGTTTGTATTACGTTTGCGATTCGTAATTCAGATCGTCATTGAAACGTATTGCAAACTAATTGAATTACATGGAATGTCGATCACATTGTAATTCAAGTGCATTGCATTTGAGTTACGTTGCATTTCGATTACACTCGCGATGGAAACAATTAGTAATTGAATTAACTCAGATGTTTGAATTACTTAATTGAATTTCAATGTAATTCAAATATAATGTAATTTGAATACGATCTAATTGAATTTTAATGTAATTGTTGCGACGAAGTTGTGCTAATTGAATTGTATTGTAATTCAATTATATCGTATTTGAATTAGATTGCAATTCAATTACATTGTAATTTAAATACGATCTAATTTAATTACATTGTGTTTGAATTACACATGTAATTAAATTAGATTAAATACGATCTAATTGAATTACAATGTAATTGTTGCAACGATGTTGTGCTAATTGAATTACATTGTAATTCAAACAAAATGTAATTAAATTTCATTGTATTTTAAATTACATTGTAATTCAATTATATCGTATTTGAATCAGATTGCAATTCAATGACATTGTAATTCAATTATATCGTATTTGAATCAGATTGCAATTCAATGACATTGTAATTCAATTATATCGTATTTGAATCAGATTGCAATTCAATGACTTTGTAATTCAATTAAATCGTATTTGAATCAGATTGCAATTCAATGACATTGTAATTAAATTAGATCGTATTTAAATTACAATGTAACTGAATTGCAATCTAATTCAAATACAATATAATTGAATTACAATATAATTCAATTAGCACAACTTCGTCGTATTGTAATTGTATTTCAATTACAATGTAATTTATATTTGAATCTAATTCAAATATGACGTAATTTAATTTTAATCTAATTCAAATACAATGTAATTTAATTTTAATCTAATTCAAATACGATCTCATTTAATTACAATGTAATTCAATTAGACCAACTCTGTTGGCGGGGCGCGGTAGAGAACGCGAAACCGGTCGTAAACAAAGCATAGGGGGACGAATTCCATTCGAGCAGAATTACGGGACGCGTTGATATGCGAAATAAGGTTGACCGGGTGTTCGGAATGCGAGCAATGTATCGAGAAAGTAAAGAATGCGCGTGTGCTCGCAACGCAGTGGTGCATCCACAAGAAATGCGTGGATATGGGCACCAGACCGAAGGCGGTGCACGGCGGATGGGGCGAATGGGGTCCCATGAGCAAATGCAGTCGAACCTGCGGCGGCGGCCTGAAAACTTCTGAGCGGGAGTGCAACAAACCGTATCCATCGAGCGGTGGCAGGTACTGCATCGGAGAGAGGAAGAAGCTAGCCATTTGCAACACCCAGGTGAACCTCGAATGTCGTTCGTTCTTACCTTTCCTCCCTTTTTTTGCTCACTCCATTGTGCTTTCCAATCTGCCTCGAAGGAACATTTGGCAAATTTAACCCCTAAAACCGGTTCGACGTACACGTGTACGTCAACGACGCCACATTGGTTGCCATGTATGTATGTATTTATGTATTTAACCCTTTCGCTACGGGCGGATTTTCCGCCGCGGTACTTCTGCTGGACGGCGCGCTGCGACATCGCTGCACGCTACAAGACGCCGATCGTTGCGGGGGTACCGCAGCGGAGAACCCGCCCGTAGCAAAAGGGTTAATCCAAATGAAGTTAAACAAAATTGAAAAAAATAAGGCATATTTATTTATCCGTTGTTGAGAGAAAAATAAGGTGAATTAGCTTTCTGCAGTAAGCACTGACTTTATTCGCTACAAACGATAGTGGCCTGTAGTACCTGGGTGGCATCTTATGGAAGGCCACTATAGCGGCTCTTAGTATCTCGATGGCATCTTATGGAAAGCCACTATAGTGGCTCGTAGTACCTCGATGGCATCTTATGGAGGGCCACTATAGTGGCTCGTAGTATCGAAAGGGTTAAACACCATATATACCAATACAAATACATGTTTCGAGTAATTCTTGCTTCGTCAGTATACGTCCACAATTCGAAAATTAACGAAACCTTTTTGTTTTATACAAGAGTAAATATGTTGTGTAGTAAAAATAATTTGAATTCTCACACATTTAATTACCGGCTTTGAGGGGTTAACGGAACACGCAGATGCTTTTCCATTGGCTTTCCATAACCTTGTATCAGCTGATCTCGCCTCTCATTGGTCACTGTTTTTCCTTAATAACTAGTAAACAAAGGCGTGGATTGTATTTTCGCTAAGGAAAAAGTTACTTGAAATGATCTCAGAAATTACCCCTTTTCGGATGTTAACATAATTATGGAACACCCTATATACACTTATGGACAGGATATACAGCTTTCTTCGAACAGATAGAATCATGTTTCCATGCTTTTTTGCTTTTTACTTCTTCAGCTTCGCAATCCACGTGCACACTGAAAAATTCCGTTTGGAATGAATTAAGATATTATTCTGTTGCTGTTGTGTAACTCGAGGGGTTTTGACTCAACAGCCCTGCGACCCTACGAAACCGCCGATCCGGGCGGTCCAGTGCACGTTGTACAACAAAGTAAAAGTCTTTGCGGACGGTATCCTCTACACGTGGAGGCCGCACGTGGACAAGGACTTTCCTTGCGCCTTGTTCTGCGTCAACGAGAAGAACGTAAGAACAAGGGTGAATCCGCAAGCGAACGACACGACACCCTGCAGACCCGGAACGAACGACATGTGCATCGGAGGCGTCTGTAGGGTACGGAAATTCTTTGTCTTATCTTTCTATCTCCGCCATTCTTCTTTTCTATTTATTTCTCTATTTATTTCTTTATATAATCTTTTCATATTTATTACCTTGCAATATGTAACAAAGGGGTTTACCCGTTGACATCGATAAACTATTATTCTTATTATTAGATTTTCTTTTTTTCTTTAAACACACAGTTCTCTGCAGACACTTTCTCATTTCTAGTCCCTTTAGATTCTAGATTCTAGTTTTAGGTTCTCCATTCAACCCTTGGGCAGCGAATGCAATTTTCGACAATTAAATTATATATATATATATATATATATATATAATTTAATTTAATTATATACTGCGTTAATTTAATTATATACCACTGTTTATAATATATATATATATATATATATATATATATATATATATATATATATTTATTATTTATTTTCTTTTTTTCTTTAAACACACAGTTCTCTGCAGACTTTCTCATTATATATATATAATGAGAAATATATATATATATCAATAGTAACTAAAAACAATAGTAACTAAAACTATAATATATATAAACTGTTGACGCTCTAAGAAGAATAGAAAGACTGATAGAAGTCTACAAGAAGTATCATAAAAAGTATGATTTGAAACATCGATGCATAAGGCTGATGGTTCTAGAAAGTGAGCTGCGATTGGATCTTGGACGGTTCCGCGGTGGAGGACAAATGCGGGATCTGCAAAGGGGACGGCACCAAGTGCAAAAAAATCGAGGGAGTGTACGACAAGCAAATAGGGCCCAAGCAACGTACGTTTCGCTTCTACCGGCAATCGATTTATTCCACATAATTTCTCTCACTTTGCACGCGCGCAGACCGCGCCGATGTGACGACGATTCCGAAAGGGGCGCGCAACATCGTCATAATGGAGACCAAGCCGAAGAAGAATCTCCTGTCGATAAAATACGCAAAAGGGGAGAAAAGCTGCCTGAACAATGATAAGTAATTATTCCGCGATTGCGGTTTAGCCCGTTAAAATGTCGCGCAATGAAACTGTAATCTCTCCGACGATAAACTTTACACCGGGATCGAAAGAAACGCGATACCGCTTTAACGATTCCTTTTATTGCAGCCGCGGATTCGCGAGCGGCGATTACGAGTGCGCGGACGCGATGCTGGTTTACACGCATCCCGAGTCGGAGAAGGAGCACATCAGCATGAAAGGGCCTATCAGCGATGACCTTCTTCTCCAGGTAAGCATTCTCTGGATAAAGTCGGTTTTAGAGCGTAGTAGAACAAATTCTCTCTAATTTTCCTTCAGCTTGTAAACGAAAAGGAACAATTTGGGGAGAGGAGATGCGATTACTCGAGCTGCTCGTTTTTATAATTGTCGACGATTGGTAACTATAGAAACAAGTCACAAAGTTCGAATAATCTCTTCTAAATTGTCCATTTTGGTTTAAAAGCTGAAGGAAAATTGGGGAGAATTTACTATACCTAAACTACGGATTTTCGGCATTTTCGAGGAGAATCTGGTTTAGAACCTTTAACACTAAATCTACCACAGTCGATCAAACGACCGGTTTCATGTTCTTGATTTCACAATTATTGAAGTCGTAATGCTGCTTTCGCTAGAAATCGTTGAACATATTTCATTAAATAAGAAATTATGTAATAAAAATTGTGTAAAATTTCAATGTTCATAAATTGTGTAAAATTTTAATATACTTAATCTTGTAATTTTTATAAGGCAATACTTGTTAACCGCTGTTAGACCTCGGTAGGTTTAGTATTAAAAAAATCGATTTTTGTTTCATTCCTTTTTTCTTAAAGTATATGTCGTCGAAAGAATGTCGAATGTCTGCTATAGTATTTGTTTGAATTCGTAGTATGTACGAAGTTACAGCTATTTGAAGATCACTGATATGCAAGTATACATATAGGTATTTCCACGTAGCCGATAAACGCGTTTCTCTTCAAATCTAATTTTTTCAACTGATATTGCACGATATCTCAAGTGCCACTTCATCGATTGACTTCAAATGTTCGCAGAATCTTCGGCAGAGATGTAGCTTTTTTCAGAATTAGAAAATTAAATTGATTGGGTAGTCTGGTTGCCAAACAGCCATAAAAACTTCGGTTGCCAGGAGTTGCAGAAAAGGTTGGAAAAAAGTTGGAAACAAAGTTGGAAAATATTGCTACTTTCATCGGGTTGAAGTTATTAGTAAACCGTGGATTTTATGCATTTCTGGCAAAACGGAGTAGATGCAATTTAATACAGTAAAAAGAGTAAAAGAATCAGAAAATGTCAATGTATTATTTTTAATTCATTAAAATGATTAAAGGAAGAACGAGCTTGCCATTTAGTTTCTGTATCCTGCAATTGATGCAGACAATTTTCATTCAGCGTAAAAATCAGCGAGATAGTTATTAAAAAAAGGAACAGGTTTCCAAGCGACTCCTGTTGTTCTGCCCTCCTAAAACAGGAGGTACTATCTGAAAAATCACAGTTTTGAGATATTCAACTTCTGGTGTATTTTTTCCAGGAAATCTAAAAACGGTTATTATTTTATTATTATTGTTATTACTATATACTATTATACTATTATACTATATATATTATATAATATATACTATTATATTATACTATTATTATTACATAATTATATTACATATTATATTATATTATATTATACTATATATATAGTAATAATAATAATAATAATAATAATAAAATAACCATTTTTAGATTTTCTGGGAAAAATGTA